TGTGTGGGTGTTTTTTGTGTGGGGAGCCGAACAGGAGCCGTTCACGAACAAAGAGTCATTTTGACAACTTTAATCATGTAGTCATCAGATGTTAATGATTGAGGTAAGATTTAAAACATCATTTGAGTCTAATTTAATAATTTTTATTCTATCTTCTTCATTAATACTTTTAATTGATTATAACCAACTAAATTAAAAAAAAGACTACTATATATATATAATTGATTAGTAGTATTTCGAGCCAAAACGAGCCGAACACAAACGAACAAATATTTATTCGTGTTGTTCGGGTTTGGCTCGTTAACTTAGCGAACGAGCCGAACTTCTTAACGAGCCGAACACGAGCTATTTGCGAACAACGACCCATTTTGACAGCCCTAATTGTGTTAGTTTTATTTATTTATTTATTTTTTGTTTTACTTCGTGCGAATGAAATTTTGTCCAAGTATTTGTATCGTATTTTGACATTTTTGTAACTTTTTATAAACTTTCACAATTTCTATAAATTTAGTGCAAAAAATTGTTACATATCACCCATTTTCTATGTATTTAAATAACGAACTTGTAAACTTCAATTTTTATATATATCATCTTATCTATGCATGAAATATTATATTTTATTTTTTTAAGTTGATAATATTATGGATATGTGTGAAATATTTGGGTGGTATAAATGTCACAAGTAAATTTTGAGATGTTAGAGATGTTAATATATAGAAATTGGCCACGTATATGACATAATATCATTATCAAAATATTAAATATATGATACATAAAAGGAAAAATATTTACGTACGTCATACGCACGCAGAATTTCGTGTATATAACGGTTATTCATTGGGTATTGGAGTGTTATCTCGCTGTTATTGGGATTAAAAAAAGATGAGTGCCTAACCACAAAATGTATTGGTAGGTTATTGAGAAGTTATTAAGATGTTATTGAGGTTAATACCCCCAATAACATCTCAAAAACCCCCAATAACTTGGTCATTGGAAGGTTATTGGAGGTCACACGCATGCAGAATTGCATGCGTATGATGCACGTAAATAGCGCTCCATAAAAGACACCAAACATTATAATTTTTTTTTCTTAAGAAGCTAATGATATTTTCCTCATCTTACAGCTTCACGTGCAAGCAAATGAAGATGAGAAATCGAGAACCGCACATGGTAAAAATTTGAACAGCAATGAATTATGTAACATTACAAATCCATCACATGAAGTTATATGTAAAGCGTTTCTTCTACATTTTTTTTCAGAAAGCATTGGAAGCATTCATCATAATATTGACTGCAACACAGCTGGTGTATCTCATAATGCTTCATTTGGGAATTAAGAGCAGGAAGTATGGCGCGGGGTATAGGAGCTACTGCAATGCTCGTATGATGATGGAGAATGAGAATAGGACAGACGCAGCAGCTGCTGCAGGGGCAGATGATGTTTAGAGATTTAGTGGTTGGATGATGATTTGTAGGCACTTTATGTTCTTTTGCTTTCAAGTGCAATGTTTTTTTTGGTTTTAGGGTTGATTAGGAAGAGGTTTATGATTGATGATGAGTTATTTAGGGGTGGTTTGGGGTAGTTATTTTTGGGTTATTTTTGGTTTTATTTGTATTTAGGGGTGGTTTGGGGTAGTTATTTTTGGTTTTATTTGTTTTTTTTTTTTTTTAATTTTGTTTAAGTTTTGAGTTGAAATATTTTTAATATCTTAGAATGTGGTTTTTTTGGCAGACATGTTGATTTATGGGGCGGTGATGGTCTCTGGTGATGACTAGAAAGGGTGGTGGAGGGCAATTAATATTAGTAGTTTGTTTTTAAGAGTATTTTTAAGTTATTTTGAATGATTTTAAAAGTATTTTGATTCATCCTTAAAAATTGAAAAAAGAGGTGTTGTTTACAAAGGTAGTGTCTGAAACATTGGTATTTAGAAATTTCTTGCCTGAAACATTCGTATTTAGAAATCTGCCATCATTTTTTAAAATTTTAACTCAAATATTAAAATTCATAATAAAATCTCAACTCATATTTTTCATTTATATCAAATTCTCATTGGTTTGATCATGAGATGCGTTCTGATTGGGTGCTACATTTTATAAATAACTCTCTAAAAATATATTTATGTACTAAACAGGCTTAAACTAAAAAAAGATAAAAGTGAGTTCCAATAAGCTTTTTCTTCACCAGGTTATGCTTTTCAAATTTTCCTCTTAATAGCTCGTATATTTTAGTTTTTCTTTTCTTTTTGATAAAAGATTCAATGAAAATGACAATAAGAAATTTAATGAATAAATTTTTAAATTTTATTTTTGAATATAATTAATTTTTATGTCAAAAATATCAGGTGTTGATTCCTTTTTAGACGTAGGGTTTCGTTTTGTTTGTTAGTGCATACAACCTTGTAAAGACCTTGTATAGTAGGGAGAAAATGAAGGAAAAATAGATTCCTCAATCTTGATGTATAAATACACAAAAAATGTGGTATGTATATAAATTCTTCAATCCTTATATAATATGTGTATCTTTAGTGCTTGGGAATTATATAAACATGTCATTTACATACATACAACCCAATTCTTTTGTTTTTATATATCTAAAATCTACATTTTGTTTTTTAAATTTATTTCATCCAAATATTGAGTGTTTTACACATATACATGATAAATCTCCAAAATATTATCTTACATGCACAAATAAGACATGCATTGGACTGAGACCTCTAGATATTTAATTATATGTACTCCAATTCAAATGAAGTTTTTGATAAGATGAGCCAGCTGACATCAGACATAGCTCGATCTGAGTCTAAGTGAGCCTAGATTATGCACTTAAAACATAATAAACATATTTAAAATTTATTTTGGGGGACCAATGACCTCCATATCTGACAAATTTTAAAGTTAAATCGGTTGCCTCGATAAGATGAATCTAACGAGGCTAAAATCACTTAATGCTAGCATCATTAAAGTGTTTAAATGCTCATAAAACTATATCTGATCAAGGAATCATTCTGGGAGATTTGATGGAGTGTTCCAAATTGATGCAACATTTCATGGACTATTTCACTTTTAAAATCATTAAATAGACCGTCACTCTCTTCATGAAGATGAATCTAGACTTGGAAGAGATGACTGAAAGTGCTCCAAGCTCTTGGGGTTCCCAAGCACCACTATCATCAAACCATCGTCTAATCACTGCAGTCATTGGACCACCGATGCTCGACCACCATCATCGTCACCGTTAAACTAATATCAATAGCCTTCTGCCATCACCAAACCATCATTGCCAGAATGACTCCATAACCGCATTCGGACAACCACTGTCTGGACACCACCGTTGTCACCGCCCGACCACCGTCATCTGATCATTGACTCTATCGAACCGCCACTATCATCATCATTTGTACCACCATCATTGTGATGTTGTCGTTGATGGACAACCTCTACCCGACCAACCCCATCATTATCGCTACACCACTGGTGTAGGATAGAAGCCATCACCGTCATCACTACCAAACCACTACCATCTGGCTGCCAGAGCACTGCTGCACCACCACTAGTATCGTTGTTTCCAAACCAGCATCATCAGGTTGCCACCACCGCTAGACCACTACTGTGCACCCCTTTGTTGTCGGACCACCACCATCAGACCATCACTAGCAACAACATTGTCATATAATTTCTTAGCACATGACCTCTAGTGTCTGTCTCTCATTATAATTTTCAGTTCACCGCCGCCACTTCCCCAATGTATTCCAACAATCCCCTAGCTAAAATTACATTGATAAATCCCACTTATGTAATATTGCTTCCGGGTATTCATGGGACGATAAAGTCTCATAATCTACACCGGCATAGTGGAATCATTTCAGTTGGGATGACCTCGTGGTTTTTAACCTTTTGGGTTTTCTACATAAAAACTTCTATTGTTCTATCATTCAATTTTTTTCTTTTATTTATATGTGTTCCAGATCTTCATGCAATATTAGAACATTAAGAAATCACTCTTCTGCTATGAATTTACTAGCACAAAATTGTTTGGTGGTATTTTTGGAAAGCACTCATACCCTTGCAGAATTTGTGTCGATCATTAAAAGACAACAAATACTAATAATAATAGAGTCTCTCACTTTATTTCTCACTATTCTAAAGGACAACCTTAGAGCCTGAGGCATCAAGCCTTTGCTTTATTCCTCCCCAAGATACACTATCCTGCTTGTGAAGATGCTTTTTGTCTGTCTTTAGAAGATCGGGTGCATATGAGAGAGGATTCCAAAAATGAGATCTTTAGCTCTTACGTAATGTTTGACAACTAGTGCAGACACAATCACATGGGTATTACATGCCATGAGATCAACCATCAATGGATAATCCCTTACTTTTGCTTGAATGGGCCCCCTCCACATAATGATAGAATTTCTTTTTATGGGTTTTGATGTTGACCTTTGTTTAAGTTGCTCCATCTCATACAACTTGACTTGATCATAACCCTTCAATACTCAATAAGAAATTATTGACTTACTAATACTTTTAATATTATAATCTTCGATGAGCTATGACGTATAGATCGAGAAAATCCCCTTTCAAGGGAAAAGAACCAATCCAATACTTGCCAAAATCTCCTGAGGTCTTCACGTGAGATAGTCCCCTAGCACGCCTTCTAGAAGGCTTTGAGCTTCCAAAATTTAACTTAGATGAAGTGGACACTCTTCACGAGATCCCCAAAAAGTAAATCATATTAATGTCTTGGGCATGATCATGGTTGGGTAGTCTCTTTGTTTTCCACTTTGATATCAATCTCATGAGAGCAAATTCTAGGTTGGGGGGGGTGCTGGGTTGGCACTAGGTGAGTAAATGAGTCAAGTCGAGCTCAAGCCACCCTTGACTTGAGCTTGAGCTTGATTAATTTTATCGTGTTCAAGCTCAATTCTACAAGTTCAAGCAGGTTGTTTATTATAAAAGATATAAAATAATATTAATTTAAGGTATTGTTATAACAAAATGTCAAATATAACAAGCAATTAAAAGAGAAATAATAAAAAAAAACATTTAATATATTATAGAAAATGTTTTTTAAAATAAACAACCTGCTTGGTGCGTAAATGAGTTAAGTCGAGCTCAAGCCACCAGAGACATGAGCTTGAGCTTGATTAATTTTATCGTGTTCAAGTTCAAGCAGGTTGTTTATTATAAAAGATATAAAATAATATTAATTTAAGGTATTTTTATAACAAAATGTCAAATATAATGAGCAATTAAAAGAGAAATAATAAAAAAAAAACATTTAATGTAAAATAGAAAATATTTTTAATACTTCAAAAATAATGAGTTCAAATTTAATATATTTTGAGTATATTTTATATTAATATTTTTTCTAAACGAGTCGATTTGGGACTAACTTGAGCTTGGTTTGTTAGCTCATTGCGTTGAGTTCATGAGCCACTTATCGAGCCGAGCTTAAGCTGACTCAAGTGTCAGCTTGACTCCCTTACACCCTGATCAAAGGAAAATATGTTTAGATTTTCATACATATTTTACACTGATTTTGATGATATTTCACTTTAAAGAAAGGTATTTTTGATGTTTTGTTGCAAATATGTTGAATTATGGTCATTGGATCAAAAAGATGCAAAAATGACCAAAATATGAAGATTTGATCTTGGGCGCCGACGGCGAGCTCGACGCCGCCAACAGCGAGTTTTTCCCGAGAGTCCAGGACTACAGGCCTTGATCGCGTCCAAACCCTGTATGTTTGATGAGGGCAATCAATGGGTTTTTAAGGGAAGAAAAATTTCTCACTATAGGATCACAGGCCTTGTTTGCTTCTAAACCTAGTCTATCCGATGAGGGTAGTCAACACCTCTTTCAAGAGAAGACAATTTCCTCATCAGAGGACTACATGTCTTGATCATCTCCAAACCAGACTTGTGTGATAAGGGCAGTCAACACCTCTTTCAAAAGAAGATAATTGCCTCATCATATGATAATGGACCTTGATCATCTCAAAACCTGTTCTGTTCGATGAGGGTAGTCAACACCTCTTCCAAGGGAAGTTAGTTGCCTCATTACATGACTACAAGCCTTCATCACCTCCAAACTCAGTATGTCTGATGAGGGTAGTTAACACCTCTTCCAAGGGAAGACAATTGTCTATTTGCAGGACAACAAGTACTGATCAATTCCAAATTTAGTTGTCCAATGAGAGTAATGAACACATTTTTCCAAGAGAAGATAATTTCCTAATTGCAGAACAACTTGCCTTATTCATATCCAAACTTAGTCCTTCCCATGGGAAAGTCAACACCTATTTTAAGTAAAGACAATTACCTCATTGTAGGACTACAGGGCCTTGATCGCCTCTAAATCCAACTTATTTGATGAGGAAAGTTCACACAATTTTCAAGTTAAACCTTGAACACCTCCAAATTTAATTCGTTCAACGAATATGTGTGAACTTTTCTATTTTTAATGGAAATTCATAATATGATTGTCAAGAACATATTTTCATTAGTGAGCTCTTGTTTTAACCTCTAGGGGGTATTTATAGTCGCAATAAAGAGAAAATATGGGAGATATTTAAATGGAAAAAAAAATTAAATTCCCAAAGAACATTAACTTATTTAATCTCATATATATATAAATATATTAAAAAAAGCAAAAAATAAAAAAAAAAAATAAAAAAAAATTAGTGTGTGCACGTCTATGCATATGTGCGTGCATGCGCACACACACAAGCACCTGAGACATAGTGTGTCAGTGCTTATGCATAGGCACACATGTGCACGTAAGCATGCAAGCAGCTGCACACGAGCGCACCACTAGCATGCCTTCGCATACATCATTGCTACACCTGACAACATTAGTCTGTCCAACACATTTTCTGCATCTTTTGGTCTATAAAGCTATTTCCAGCATTCCTAACCCAAATTTGATATTTTAATTAATTATCAAGGAGACAATCTTGGGTTATGACTCCCGAGGAAAGGATTGTACCAATACATAAGAAACAACTGCATCTCACAATTCCTTCAATATCACATTTAAATCGCGATAATTTTTCAAAAACTTGAGATATATTCTCAACTTCATTGACAATGACGACTGAAATAAGGGGACAACTGATATTTATCCAAAAAATTATCTTAATCATGCACAAATTTTAATACACATTGGAACTGAGAATTCTAAACATTTAATTACTTATACTCTAATTCAAAAGATATGTCTTGATAAGATGAATCAACTCACATCAAGTATAATTCGATTTGAGTCCAAGCGAGTCCATATCATGCACTTAAAACACAATAAAGATTATTGAGATATATTTTGGTGGGACCAATTGATCTCCAAATTTGACAAGTTTATAGTCAAATCAAGTATCTCAATAAGATGAATCCAACGAGTCCAAGATCACTTAATTTTGACATCATTAAGGCACACAAATACTCATAAAACTATATTTGATCAATGAAATCACCCTGGGTCATCTGATTGGGTTGTTCGAAATCATGCAGTATTTATAGACTATGTCATTCCTAAAATCTATGAATAAACGCCCACTCTCTCCATGAAGTGGGACATGTTTCAAACTATTGAGGGTTCATGAGCTCCACCACCAACTTTGGTCTTCATCATCATCAAATCACTGCTGCCCAGACACCTCCGTCATCTCAATCATACCACCACTTTCGGGCCACTGCTGCACAAGCACTAACATCACCTTCGAACACCACAATCGAGCGACCCTCATCGATAGATCACAATTGCTTAGCAACATTCGTCGTCTTCATCGTCGAACCACAGTTGTCTCACGAGCATGATCACAGTTGTTAGACTATCGCTACCAGGCCATAATCATCGTCATCGTCGGACCACTGTTGTCTGCCACTACCACCACCGCCACAGTCATTAGACCAACACCCCAAGACCACAATGGTATTGCTGCCACCACTGTCTTGATTGCTGACGCCAAACAACAGCCTCATTGTTGTCGAATCACAACCATTGGGTTGCCACCATTGTCAGACCACCACTTACCGGCTATCCCAACCAAATTATCACAATTATGTCACTGTTACCGACGATAATGATATCAAATTTTATGAAACATAACTTCTACCGCCAGACTTTTTTCAGAACAATCGGGTCATCTCCACTTCCCCAATGTTCACTTGTGTAATATTGCTTCCAGCTTTTCAAGAGGCGATAAAAACTTATAACATACATAGGCTGATAGGCATAGCTGAATTATTTCAATTCAGCTAGGCCTCGTGATTTTTACCCTTTTGAGTTTTCCACATAAAAACTCTTAATGTTCTCTTTGTCAATTTTTTTCTTTTATTTGTGCTCGTGTTATATTTTCATACAATACTAGTACATTGATACATCATTCTACCGTCATGAATTTACCAGCACACACACACAGATATATATATATATATATATATATATATATATATATATATATGCTTGTTTTTGTTTTAGTTCTAGAAAGATAAATACAGAAGAATTGTGGCCTTATAAACAAGCATTTTCTTCAACTTTTGTCATTTTGACTTTCGAGGCATAATTTCTATGTATTTACATATATAACATGTGAATAATATTTCTTACGTCTATACCACATTGTCTATGTTTAAAAGTGTTGTATTTCACTTTTTATAATTTAATAATGATGGTATTTATTTAGTCACGATGGCATTCAAGATATGTACAAAAGATATAAGTATTATAAATATAAAAATTAAATTTTTTATATTAAATATATAAATATACACAAATTATGTCACATATATGTAGATGCTCCTATATTATTTTGCCGACATGTATTTCAAATTATAGAAATATCTAAGAGGCATTTATTTACATACATACTATTCAATTCTTTTGTATTTATATATCTAACACTTAAATTTTATTTTTTATATTTATTTAAATCATTTAAATATTTCATATAACATAACAAATTATTATTTTAGTTACAGACAACTTTCATGCATATTAAGTAATTTTAAAGTAAAATATAAAATTCTAAGGTTGGAATTTGGAAATGTAAATACAAAAAAAATTGGATTGATCCACTCGCAAAATTATTGTATCAGGATACCATATGTAAATATACATCAAGTGTCAAATAATAGGGGGTCACGTGGTAATTTGAAACCAACGATATACACGATTCAGACCCGGGTTGTCATGTGGCACAGGGGAAATATTTGCGTACATAAGACGTACCCAACACTGCGTATATCAGGGGTTATTAAGGGGATACATGGGGGTTATATCCGGGTTATACCCCCCTGTAATCTCCGTGTAACTCCCCTGTAACATTCGTGTAACTTACTTGTTCCCATGAAACTACAGAAGCACATAACTCATTTATAGGTTACAGATAAATTACAGGGAGGCTACAAGGAGGTTACAAAGGGATTTAACCCCGATATAACCCCCTATACCCCTGAATAACCACCGACGACCCAAATATTTTCCGTGACACAGACACCTGATATAAAATTTTGCATCAAATTTGCATGGTAGAATAATTTTTCGTGAGGCTGGTAGCTCCCTGCTTCCAATGATAAAATATTACATCAGTACTACGCACGTAAGAATAACGTGCGTAACTAATCAAATCACGCCATGACATCTCGCGCGATAGAGCAAAAAAAACGGCGCAGTAACACGGAGAATATTCCCTCCTGTGTTATTCATGTGTTATTGCACGTTATTCATGTGTTATTGCGTGTTATTCATGTGTTATTGATGTGTTATTATGTTATTATAACACCAAGAATATTCTCAGGACACAATAACACATGAATAACATACAATAATACTTGAATAACACAAGAAATATTTTCCGTGTTACTACGCCGTTTTTTTTTCTATGATGCGCGAGATATCGTGACGTGATTTCATTGGCTGTGGGTTACTGATGTAATATTTTTTGGCTTCCAATAGCTACTAGAACACTGGTAGCTCCCTGCTTCCTTATCCCTCCACTCCCGAGAGAAAAAACCCTGGATGGCTTCACTTGCGCTCGTTCATGCCCAATGGTCGACTGCTCTCCACCACAACCGTAATAAGCAGGTAGCTGTTGTCCGACGCAAAGGTATCATCCTTTCATCCACCTCCCACCGCTTTCCCACCGCGTTTCAGCGATTTCCTCAGCGACGTTTTAGCTGCGGATTTCCAATTGGGGCTCAGGAGCGCGGCAATGGAGACGCCGCAGCTACCCATGAGGAAAACCAGCTGGTGAGGATAGTCCTGCAATCCTCGCTCTGGGCCGCAGAAGCTGTTTACATTTTGTGGCTTTTCTTTCTTCCGTACGCGCCTGTAAGCACTTCTTCTTCTTACCACTTATTACGTATGATGTTCCTATGATAGGCTTGATGTTTGTAATGAGAGTTTTATTCTTGTTCATGTTCTTCTTGCTCTTCTTCTTTTTTGATTTTGGGGTTTTTATTAAATTTTGATCTTTTCATCTTTCAGGGTTCTTATGTGATGGAATTCGACTGTAGAGAGCAAGATTTATTGTATTATATTTGAGTTGTGCTCTGCACACAATCAGACAAGTAAAATGCAAAACATAGGAAATACATTTTTATGGAAATGGAAAAATGAGGGGGCATTATTTTTTTGTCAGGCTGAGCTTGATTTTTTTGTCAGGGTGAGCGCTAGAATCTGGCCTCTTGTTTTTCTTTATTTTATTTCCAACCCATGTGCTATGTGAGGCATATACTTAGAACCTTTTTCTCTAATTTTTTTTGGTCTTCCTATTAACTTGAAGTTAGTATGATGTAAAAATTTGAAGCTATGGTGAGTGTCTTGGTAGTAATAGTAAATAGAATCTGAAGGTGGTGATGTGGATTTGTTGCAAGGGCCGAGGTGATTTCTTGCCTTGGAGAATCAAGAGGACTAGATTACCTGAAATTTATGAGCAATTGAAGTGGGATGAGGCAATAAGTCTCCTAGGAGGGAGAATTAGGCAATCTAGAGCCGTTAGGTTACTTGAGATAGCTGGGGTGGCCCTTCTCTTTATAGAAAGGGAAATTAGGTGACCCGGAGTCGACGGGAAACTAATGATGGTTGGAATAGTTCCTTTCCTAGGAGGATGAGGAATTGGGTGGCTTGTAGATATGAAGCTAGACAGACCTAAAAACACTATGAATGGCTAGATGAACAACATAGGTGATGGCCAAAGCTCTAAAATACTCCATGATCTGATATTTTGTCGTGCATTAACTTCTCAAGGCCTTAAAAAATGTCGAGCAATTAACGCTAGACTTTTAAATGAAACAAGTTAAACCCGCAACTCGGATGGTTAACCTATATAACTATTTGGTGTTTCATGCCGATGACATATCTTGAATAGTTTTTACTTTCTTTGGATTTGCTTTGATACCTTTTAGTGTGAGAAGATAGCCTAAGAAATTCTCTGTTCCAACACCAAAAGTGCACTTGAGTGAATTTAGGGTATGTTAGGGCAGCTGCAGCTTATCCGGCTTTTTCAGATAAGCTGATTATCTTGACAAGCTGGTGATAAGCAGCTGATCCAGATAAACTGTCTGTCTGTTTGGTTTTTGAGTTTAGAAAACAACTGATTCTGGATAAATGATCATTCTGCCCCTGTTTCTGATAAGCTGTTTAGTTGTTTGATTTGTGTGTTTTATAAACAACTTATTTGCATATTTATTTAGTTAAATGAACAATCTGACACCCAAAATTTGTAATGTTGTCTACAAAACTGCAATATATATCCCTTAGATATTTTAGAATCAATTAAACCCATTCAGACTCATTCGACGCAAACAGAACACCAAAAAATTTACTCATTTCCCAATCAGAGACATGAAAATACAAAAGAGTTGAGTTATGTGTAAGTAAAACTTCCAAAAACAAATTCTAGAGACACAAACATAATATCTTGTAGGAGAAAGTTTAAGATGCTAGAAAATACTGTTAATTTAAAATAACAAAATCTTCTGCATTTACATATCTCACAACAATTCAAGTGAAAGTTCTCCAAAAAATTCCCATCACATATGGAAGCTCATTGTTCAAAAACTTGCACCAACCATTTATTCAATCTTCTCCCCATCTATCTTACCTCGTGTTCCTAAACCTTGAATCAACATCTGCTTTATGGATCACACTTTCCAAATGACTTCAATCCTCCCACAGGGCTCGAGTTATTCTGCTTAAAAATGAGTTACAAATCACTATAAAGAACAACTGTATGAATCAGTATCTCACAGAAATCAAGACTGTGGTGGATCAAATTACAACAACGTAAGCACAAGTAGACCTTGAAGATATTATCATATATATTCTAAATGGGCTTCTTACATCTTACAGTTCTTTCAAGACGACAATTAGAACCAGGTTGTTCTCTGCTGTGAGGAGATTCCTCTCAATACATTGGCTTCATAAAAGCAAGCTCTTTCTTAAATTGCTCTCCTGCAATGAGGAGATTCGTCGCAATCTTCCGGGAGGACGCAAAGCTCCTGTTCCTTCGGCCACTGCCTGAAGATCATCATGTTCAAATCTGCAATCGGTCAGAACCTACCCAACCAAAATCCAAAATCTGGGACGAAGAACTAGGGCGCGAACAGGCTTACCTTCTTCGACGGTTTCTGGTCGGAGCGGAGAGGAGGAATGAGAAAGATGGGAGTTTCGGTGGTCTCTGCAAGCAGTGATCCCTTCGCCTTTCCAGCTAAGCTCGATCTCGAGCTTAGAGAGGGAGGAAGGGCTCGCGAGAGCTTCGAGTTTGGGGACGAAGACAACCTCGCCAAAATTTTTTACAAATGTAGACCACGGCTCGCGTTTAATGTAAAATAGAAACTCATTTTTCATATAAGTTTTTTGAACGCGCGATCCAAACAGTGAGGTGGCGTTTTCAAAATGCCGCCGCCGCAGCCGATAAGCTGCCCCAAACGCACCCTTAACCTCATTAAATTTTTGTTAAATTTTGAAAGTCTACTTTTAGGGAAACACACCCTAAACCTCATTAAATTTTTGTTAAATTTTCCCTTTTTTATTACTAAAAATTACATCTATCATACATAAGTAACATCAGTATTCTTAAGTAAAAATATATTACATTATAATAATATACATCATGTTTGATGATACATACAATTTTGTCAACTTCTGTAGAATGCATCTTGATCTAGTTGTACCTGAGAAAAACATCTAAGAAAATCATGACAAACTAGCCGACTGTTGAGTCAACTAGCAATCAATTTGTAGTAACAGGTAGTTATTTTTTGGGCATGTCAAATTTATATTCGTGAACCCTGCACATATCCATCACTTCTCGTTATTTTGGAACCATCATGAAGTTCATAGCCAGTCGGGATATATTAAACTTGTCTGATGTACCTTGCATCCAACATCTGTTGTATTTCATGGCAAGCAGGTCGTTCTGCGAGAGCAATAATGATGGATAACATCTTCTGCTTTATGGATAACTTGTGGCAGAAGACGTCGATGTCGATTCCCTACATCTCTTTGGTTGACTAGGTGAACATGTTTTGATGTTCACGGAAGATGGCAATCAATTCCTCTCTGTCTTACATAAAAAAACAATGCTCAATCTAAATGTTCTAATTATCTTTCCTTCGGCAATGGCGATTTCTTCTATGACTTGGTTAGCTTCCAAGCATCTCCACCTCTGCACTTAGAGCTGTAATGTTTCTTCCCTGACACTACCTAATGCCTATAGTTGGCATGTACGAGATTGTTCCAAATCTCCTTAGACGGTTATCGCTTCACTGCCTGGTAATTTAATGCAACATGATATGTTTATACCATGAATTTGGCAGTATTGAGGAGAGGATGATTGAAAATCGTGTTATAGGTTGCAGGGAGTTGACTATAATGAAGTCGACCATGGATGTAAATTATTCTTTTTTTCCAAAGCAATTGGCAGAACTATGGCTTCCATTATTTTATTCTCATTGGAAAAGCCTTACAATGGATGAAGGGTGGGATCAAGTGTGAGGATCCTCGGTTCATTTTTTCGTAAATAATTTTGAAACAAATACTAACAGAGCTTCTTGTGTCAATTAGAAAGTTGTTTATCTAGTAGTTTGCGCGCAACATGATGACCACAATTTTGTTGTTGTAGGAGCTACCCTTAGCGGGTATATCTTCGTTAGTGAAGGCGATATGTGTTTGACTTATGTGATGTCATTGTCTCTGGAGGTGGGATAACGCATTCCCTTGATGATTGTGTTTTGACTCTAGAGGTAATTACGCGGTCCCTTGATACTTGTGTCGTTGACTCTTGAGGTGAGTACGCACTCCTTTGATAATTATTGTAGTGATTCCCTTATGGTTGTCATCATTTATTTTTTCAGCTTGTTGGTTTGTTATGTTCCAAATTCTCTGATGCACTCCATGTTACTTGTAGTTTCTCTGTTACTTGACACTCACCACACCTTTCAGGATGTTGGATCATGATTTGTTCGTGAACTAGCATACAGAAGGAAAAAAGTTAGAAATAAAAAATTAGAACCAGGGAACAAAGAAAGGATTTACTGGAAAATGAGCTTTGTAACATGTCTGGGACTTGATCCATTTCTTATAACCATCATCTTATTTATAAGTGAGTCGGTTCATGTACTACAACATTATAAGTAATGTTCTTATTACACAAGGTTCACAAGATATATTATTTCATCTTCACTGTCTTCTTCTGGTGTGGGCATTAAAATATATTGTCCTGTCTTAATTATCTATTTTTAAAAAAATCCTTTTCTTCTTGTAGCATTTTTGGTATAACATCCTTGATAATACCTCTATCAACCTAGTTGGCTGTATGACGAGTTCGTTCAATCTAATCCAAGGGGTACAATATTGAATTTGTCATACCAACGTAGTCGGGTGTATTTCTCATACAATTTGATTGAATTGCCTTAGTCATTTTTTATTATTCAGCTTCGAGGGCGAGTTGCCCCCTACCTGGTCCTTTGATTTGGTTGGTCTGCCAATCTACTGGATTAACTCAATGAACTGGTTGGTGCATTGGACTTTCCTGCTTCTGGTCATATAGATTATATATAAGGCCACTGATAAGGGCAATGGTTTTTATTAATTATGGGAGATTTGATCTCTCTAAAATAAAGTGAAATTTAATTCTAATGCATTTAGGTGCATTTTTTGTGTAGCAGCTTGAGTTACATTAAGAACTCCACTGCGAAGCATGTTCATCTTGGAGCACAACTAGGATGGGTTGTTGTGAAGTTACATGAAGATTACAAAACCACAACGGGCATTATTCAATGAATGATTGCTCAAGCTTGTAAATTTAATAACTACTGCGATAAATGACTGAAATTCAAATGTTTTTGCTCAATCTAACAATAGTTACAAAAAAGCAACGATTTTTTTTTTTTTTTTTTGCATCAAACACTCTCAGTTCGAGTAAATCATGCTTTTTTTTAAAATAATTATACATATATCTGTATTAAGTGTGATCCAACATCAATGTTTTTTTTTTACGAAATACCCATAATACTGTATTCCAAGTCAGGTAATTGAAAGCTTTTACTAGTCCTGATTCTGATGCTTTTGTCTTCAGGGTGATCCAGTCTGGGCTATTAAATCGAATACAGTCAATGATCTTATGGGTCTGTCACTCAACTTCTTCCTTATTTTGCCCTTAGCAAATCTGGGTAAGACTTGCATCTTTTGATTTTCTTCCTGAAATATTTACAAAGCTCAGAAACTTCTTTTATCAGCTTTTATGTTATTATAAAGGAAGATTTACATACGCTCCACACAATTTTAATTTATTTACATACATAATACAGAAATTTTTTTTATTACATTTATTGCATTTTACCTGTGCAAGAAAAGGTTTATTTCACCTGTGAAACTCAAAATTTAAATATTTGATATGTGAATATGTATGTGAATGCCTTTAAATATTAGGTAAAATTTTATCTTCGTGAGAGGAATGTGCAAGCTTTTAATTCTTAGTTTTCTAGGATTTTCTGCCCTTAGAATTCATCAGTGGCTTTGGTTTCTAATAGCATGGTATCTCGGTTATGTTATGCTGGTAGTACTTAGTTGAGGATTTTCTGATTTTCCAACGTAATTATATGATTTTGCTGGTATACCACATTCTATTTTATATTAATATATATGCCAACATAATCTATATATTCTTACTAGGATATCACTTAGTCATCTCTCATCACCATAGTTTAAGATTAGATGTGCTAATTAACTCAATCCTACTCACGAAGAAAGGCTGTGATACTAGACTCACCTTGGCTGACCTGATTGAAACAAAATAGTCAATAATTAAGCTTTGAATGAACAATAGATTAGGGGAACTACCATTAATAATAAAAATTTAGGTGGTGGGCCAATAAATTCCTAAATGTTTACATTTTGTAACCTATAATGGGATGTTTTAACTTTATGGTAGTTTGATTTAATATTGTTTGTATTTTAAAATTATGAGACATAATTCTCTTTCTTAAGGTTATTTATTCATGGAGCTTTATTTGGGACAGACATTTTTACAGTTTTGCTTTCCAGACTGCTATAGAAATGTTTGACTACAACTTTTTCTTTGTTTTTTGAACGTTTTTGTGGTGAGAAATCAAATTTATTAGGGTAGTAGTTGTTAAGAAGTTGTTTTTTGACTTATTGTTGATCTTCGTAACTGCTCTGCTCGCCTACATAATTTCGTGCACAGGAAGTTCATTTAATAGATTTTTACTTGCATAAATTTTTTCATCGGGGCGTCATTTTGCAAAACAAACTGTGCAAGCACATCCGAATCGTTGAGGCGGTTCAAATGAGACTTTTCGCTTCCGAAGTCAACTTACGTCGAAGGGTTAAATATTCATGCTATTTAAATATTATATAAAATTTAATATATATTTTTCTATTTTTATATTTTTATATTTTTATATTTATAATATATATATTTAAATTTTATGTTCAAATTTTCCTCCATAGTCTTCATTCAAATTAACTAATTGTTAGATATTATTGGAGCTGCTCCATTTAATTCAAATCAGTATTAATTTCAACCCAAATGAGCAGTTCTGATTTTTCCAGTTATTTTCTCAATGAATGTGGATGCAAGCAGGAAAAAATTCAATGCAATTTCATAAGTTTGCCCTCCTCTCACTCCCCTCATTATTAATTTCTTTTTTTTAATGTTTTTTTCTCTTCTATCTCATGCAATCACAAGCCCTCTACTCTATTATGCCATTCATGCTCACAAAACCCAACGACATGCCTCTCCTGAAAATAAAAAAGGAAATCTCCCTCTCCTCCCTATGCACTCCTCGCTGTCACCGATGATTCCCGTCGGCGACCCAACTGCCTACCGACACGGCAACCCGCAAGCCCTTCCATCCGAACCACCCTCTTTCCTACCTGAGAGAAAGAGAGAAAGAGAGATAGAGAGAAAACGAGAAAAAGATAGAGAAAGAAATAGTGAGAAAGAGAAATGGAGAGTGAAAGAGAACGAGAAAGAAAGAGAGAGAGAAACATATAAAGAAACAAATAAAGAAAGAGAAAAAGAAGAGAGAGAGTTAAAAAAATATTTTCTCTTTGACTCGAAATTTGTGCATCGTCGCCACTTCACATCGATCTCATAAAAGTATAAAAATGTTGTGCTCTAAAACTCTTTGTATTCATGTTTGTGGCGTGTTTGGCTCGATAAGAGGAATCCGTACATGTTTTTTAAGTGGTGGGGAAAGCTTATTACGACATTTGCGACACAACCTATTTGTGACGTGCCTACCACAATGAGCGAACTCATCATGCTTTTAAAAGAGTAGCAGGGAAGATTCGTCAATGACATTACATATGTGCTCTAATGTTTGCTCGCTGGTATCCCATACCTTTATGGGCGCAGTGATTTTCAAATACTTTGATCTTGGTGTTTCTTGACACCGACCATATACGTCTTTAAAGGGCGTGGTGGTTTAGCCCAGCTTTCCAAATATAGATCTCCTCACGGGGATGACTTTAGAAGGCTGTCAATTGTTGCTAAAATTTTTTGTAATATAAACTTGCGAAAATACTTAACATTGGACTACAAATGCTTGCAAATAATATAAAATTTTGGTTTTCTTTTAAACTTGCAAAATAATTCAAAATTCCGGGTCTTTAAAACTTTCAAAATAATTCAAAATTCAATTTATACTTTAAAAAATATCTGAATTTGAACCGTGAAGATTTAAAAATTAGCTTAAATATGAAATATCATAAATTTGTGGTTAAATTCAAGTGCGTAAATGTCACTTTAAATGCTAAGTAATGATTTCATATGCTTAATCACCACCGGATCTACAACCCCTCTGCACTAGCGGACAAAAGATGAAGTAAAATGCTTAGCTGAAATATTTGTACACATTTATGCATTTTTTTCCATCTTATGACAAATAACAATAACCCCCCCCCCCCCCCCCCCCCCCCAAACACAATTTATACCTTATTTGATTTTGAACTGTGAAGATTTACAAATTAGCTTAAATATGAAATATCATAAATTTAGGGTTAAATTCAAGGGCATAAATGTTACTTTAAATGCTAAGTAATGATTTCATATGCTTAATCACCACCGGATCCACAATCTCTCTACACCAACGGACAAAAGATGAAATAAAATTCTTAGATGGAATATTTGTACACATTTCTAATGTTGCACATTTATGCAAATAACAATCCCCACCCCCAAGAAAAAAAGTCGGTCCGAATTCACAAATTTTAAATACTCGTATGTGCTCCACCGCCTATTTTATTTCACTAAATGTAGATATTTGAGAATTTTGTACGGTTCAATTGCATGCTTGAGTTAAAACACAATTCATTTCGAGAAGTGCACCCACCTTTTAAGGGCCCGTTTGGGGCAACTTATTTGGTGCGGTGGCGTTTTGAAAACGCACCTAGCCTGTTTGGGTAAACTGCGTTTTGACAGCTTATGCGTTTTCAAAACGCAGAAAACAACGTTCTCACACCGCACCTATCTATTGGCAGCGGTCTAGCTTTTCCAAAAAAATAGAAATTTGTAATAACAACCGCACATAGCTTATCAACAGATTATTTTTAATCAGCTTATCAACAGATTATTCAATAAGCTGCAGCTGCCCCAAACAGGCCCTAAAGCTTTTAAAAAACTCTCATTTCTAAATTCATATTGAAAATTTCTAACTTTGCACACTCTCAAATGGGCCTTCTTTTCTATAAAGCAAAGTTGTAAGTCCCATACGTTAGTTTGATATTTTTTCTTAAATGGACTGTAGTGGACAAGACTGAGCCTCCACTAGGCTAGTCAGATCCCCTTCTTAATAGAGACTATAGTTGGCATGACTAATTATTTTAGGATGCTTAAATGATATCAATAAAAAATCCACAAATAAATATTTCAACTCATTCTCCTGATAATGGTCATGTGGAATGTGAATTTCAATCAGAGGGGTTTATTGATTAAATTAAAATTTCAAACCATATAATCTAAGGAAAAACATTTAAATAAAAATCCACATCACTAAAAAGCTAAGAGCAAATAAAACCATCCATGTTCTACTATCATTTGTCAGAGTGGTCAAATTTAATGTTAATTTAAACTCATATAAGAAAATATCATATCAAGTATATAACTAAATTCAAACTTAAATAACTCTATGCCTATGAGGACGTGAGCAGAGTTTTCTGTCCGCGTGGTCTTGCTGCCAAATAACACCACAAGAAATGATTACGATCAAAGCCCTCTGACTGGGTGGTTTGTCGTCAAATGACATCGTTATATTACTTCCACGACTGTAGGTCTTATATTCCCTAATAGTTTTTTACCCTTTTGAGTTATAAATCAAATAGTATATTTGATAAGATACAAAGCCCTCTGTTTAGTTAAGGTCGACATTAATTAGGCTTCTTAGACAAATATTCACCCCAGTTCTATAATGTTCCATTGGACGAATCAACCCATTGTTACTAACAAAAATCTTTATGTCAGCTTCGGTCGACTACCATATCTGACTAAGTAGAATAGAGTCCACAACATGCCAAGATGACAAAACCATGGGATCTTGATCGGTTGCGTCATCATTTCCCCCACCATTTGCTCATAAGCTCACATTGATGATTTTCATGAATTTTATATCTCAAGTTTGATGCTGCTATATGTTTGCAATCAACTCTCTAATGACTAATCTTAATCAAAAGTACTCCCGTTATTGGGAGAGGTAATTAATCGTAAGGGCTTGAGCCTATGAGAAAGCTCGAACCCCACATCTTAATGTCCTCGCAAAATGAGGGTGAAATCTCTAGGTAGTGTCTTATCTACCATCTCATCTACATTCTAAAAATTCAACCTGGAACCTTACGAAAAACTTCACTCATCTCATCTCATCTACATTTTGAGGGAGGCCGGGTGCCTTTTCGAATTTTCAGAGCCCACAGATTTCTAATGACTCAGTTGGAGAAGTTTCTTTTTCCAGCTTTGGTTAGTCATATATATTCGCTATAATATAGCTTAAAAATATTAAAAGTTGAATGAAAAGTCAAATTATTTTCATTTATTATAATTACTCATAAACTTGAGTGAGTTTTCTCTGGTGAACATCAGGGTTGACTTGTGGATTTCAATTTGAGAATCTCCCAACAGAAATGTAATCTTTATCTAGTGAGCATTAATGTATGG